CCTTCTCTGTTCACAAACAGCAGGTCTAGGTGTTAGTAACTAAGTGCACGTAACACAGAGCACGTACCCAGCAGGCATCCATAGAGGGAGAGAAGAGAGGTCCAGCCCGTCGACTGATCCCAGACGTTCCGATGGAGGGCTTCCCCAACCCCCCCTTCTCTTTAAGCTGTTTTTATACTGGTTTTTACTCTCAGGTGGAGCTTGAGTGACTCTGATGTCATACATACCTTTGTTAGGATTGCTGTAAATTCACCTCACTTTGATTTAAAGGTATAGACTAGAATGAATTTCAGGGCGCCTGCTCAGTGAGGGGTGGTCGCAGCCCGGAGGCGGGTAGCTTTTGAGATGAAGGTGTGTTTTGGTATTATAATGACATTATAATGAGCAAAGTTCACCTAACAGACAAGAATTTTGCACCTAGTTAAACATTTACATGGCCAAATTGCCCAGGTAAATGCCTGGCTAGGTCTTGGTGACCTGACTCCATTCACCATCGTTGTTGGCAGCAGTTGCGATCCACCTTCCTTGACAGCCGTGCGGTTCCCTTTGCCACCCACTCTCTATCCCTGGTAACAGGGTCGAGCCATGGTACCTCCGTACCACTCTGCTCCCCATTCCAAGGATATCGTACATTCTGTTCCGCCAGAGCAAGCCTTGTCCTTGACCAAAGCTGAACTTTGGGGAACAGTGTTCTTCCATTCCCCCTGTTTTCTGTTATTTTTCCACATGTGGCCTCACCAGTGCTGAATATAGAGAAGGATCACCTCCCTCCTCCTGCTTTCAGCACTCCTAATGCAAATCCATGTGTGGAAGTTCTGCTCCCCCAGGTCTGAGAAGCTCAATTAGATCCTGAGCCAATTTTATTACTACCTCCAGCAGATGCACACAGCCTAGGCATTTCAGAAATGGTATTGAGAAGCCAGCATTTTTATATTACTGAAGTCTGATTTACCAACTACTGGGCTGAAAAACTGAAGAAAACTTTAGTCTAAAGAGAAAAGAGAAAGTAAATGTTAAGTCTAAAGCCCAACAAATTAAGTATAAATTTAGGATAGGACAAGCCAAAGAACAATACTGAATATGAAAAAGAAAATAGGAAGATTGATTGAAATATATTGGAAGAAGAACTGAGAAATTAATAAGGTTTAAAAAAAATGTTCTTGGAAGACAATCAGCTGCTTAAAGTCAGATAAGAAAATCAAAATTCATTCTGTTAATCAATATTAACTTTAAAGATTAGTGGAGGTCCCATACCTGTGTGGTATGGATTTTAGAGGGCAGGTGGAAACTGAAAAACTGTATCACACTGTGGTACCAAATAGACATAAATTGAACACACACGAAATGAGGAGTGGTAAATGGTTTATGCAGGACTCTCGTGAAATTGCTCAACTACCACCTACTGTCTTTTGTACGCTGCACTGGTGAGGCTGCACCTTGAACACTGTGTTCAGTTTTGGGCCCCCCACTACAAGAGAGACATTGAGGTGCTGGAGCATGTCCGGAGACGGGGAATGAAGCTGGTGAAGGGTCTGGAGCACAAGTCCTGTGAGGAGCAGCTGAGGGAACTGGGGTTGTTCAGCCTGGAGAGAAGGAGGCCGAGGGGAGACCTTCTCGCTCTCTACAACTACCTTAATGAAAGGAGGTGGTAGTGGGGTGGGCTTTGGTCCTTTTTACAAGTAACAAGTAATAGGACGAGAGGAAACAGCCGCAGGTGGCACCAGGGGAGGTTTAGATTGTATATTAGGAAAAATTTCTTCACCGAAAGAGTTGTCAGCCATTGGAACAGGCTGCCCTGGGAAGCGGTTGAGTCACCATCCCTGGAGGTATTTAAAAGCCATGTAGATGTGGTGCTGAGGGACGTGGTTCAGTGGCGGACTTGGCAGTGCAGGGTTTATAGTTGGACTCGATGATCTTAAGGGTCTCTTCCAAACAAAATGATTCTATGATTCTATACAATGTGTTACCTATAACTGAAATCTCCTTCAGTATCAGAGGTGTGGTAAATTGTTAACATGATGCCAAAAACATACCAGGACCAATCCTCGATATTGGAACCCAATTGGTACTAACTGTAGAAGAGAATGAGGTTAATAGACATGTGATACAGAATCATAGCCTCATACAATGGCTCAGGTTGGAAGGGACCTTAAAGATCA